ATATTAATATCAAAATTGCCTTAAAAGAATATAAAGGCTAATGAACCCCAAAGTCAATGGAATTATGAAACAAAGATACGCTCGTTTTACACACGTATAAGCGAACATAATGGGCCGATTTGTGACCCTGGGCGATGAAAAGCACGCACTCCTTTGAAAAAGTCTTCTCCCTTTCTTTCAATTATAAAAAGTATAAAATAAAAATTTCTTTCTACACTTTGGTGCTAAACTCAAATTAAAATTTTTAAGTATTAATGTTTAGAATATTTAAGGCAATTTGTAGAAAAATCTATAAATGTCGATGTTAGTCTATTATATTAATTGAACAGTGGTGGCTTTTAATAATATAATAAGAAGTTCAAGAATAAAATTTTTAATTAATATTTTTTTAGAGAAAAGATATCGGACCTGATAATGTAATTTCTGCACAATAATCTAAACTGTAATTAAAGATAGATTAATAAATGTTTAAATAAATGATTTTTGTATTCTATAACCTCCAGAATAATAATCGACTATCTAGGTTAATAAAATGTTTGTGATAAGAAATTGAATTAATATTATTAACTATATTACACTAAATCCGCTTGAGAACCAATATCTATGCATCTGAATACAATATTTTCTATCTATTTCCAAGTAAACACAAAATCATTAAGTATCATCGCAATTCTGGCATTAGTCTGTAAAAATCAAACTTAATAATTAAGAAATTTATGTTTATATTAAATATTAATTATAATAACTGTAATCGTTCATATTATTGTAATAAAGATAGTAGATATTGTCTGTACACCATATCTTTTACGCATACGTAGGTATGTAATGTAATATCACCGCGCATATACTTTGTGTATGTCGATATTCAATACGGCGCTATAGTACCGGAAGTATTCAACCCCGGGAAGACAACATAAGTAAGGTTTTGTATTACAGGACTTATTTTCTTCAATTAAATATCCAGATAAGCTGCTACGCTTATTAATTACATTCGTCTTAATAATTAGGATTCTTTTATATCTCGACAATAGTTAAGATTCTGTAAAGTTATTCAACATTTATGTAATATTAATGTTAATAATTATTAATTGTAATAAAGTTGTTGTTCTTAAATTTGACAACTGTTGTTAATAATAAGAGTGTATTTCATTGGTATTTTACTTAAATATGTAATTTATGTTAGTCCCTTACGATTACTTACATGACTATTAATTATTGCATTGTACATATTTCAATTATATGTTATGCAAGTTCTTTGTAAAGGCAATATTAACAGTATAACATTTATTCAATATAAAAATAAAAAATGATATTGTAAAAATAAGTAGAAATAGCAAGAGACAAATCAGACATAATATATATTATATTTATCACTCTGAAGGGAAAAAAGATTATAAACTATGAATACAAAGTTTCTTTTGTAAATTTTCTTATAAATATTTGCACTTTCTTTATAGAATATTTTTCAAATACAAAAAAAAAACTGGAAGAATAAAAGTCCACGTGGCTAGGGCATTTTATAAATGTTATCTATACTGGTATTTTCAAATTGCAGTATGTCTCATAAAATATCAATGGTACACTTGACCTATAATCAACTTCATTATTACTGTTATAGCAATAAAGCACTCATGCTAGAAATATAATTAATTAGTTAATGACTTGTGTCGGTATTATAAATATGTGTAGTGTGTGGTGAAAGATTTTCATTGTAGTTAAATCGCATAAATGACCTGAATAAAAAGACTGCGAGACATTACATTATTGACAGTCTGAAAACTTTTACATAATTCCTATATAATTTATAAGTTGAAATATTGAGGAATGAATAATGCTGACTACTTTACATTTGATTTGTATTTAACATGCATGTGAAATAATATATTCCAGATATTATACTTAGTTTTGACTGCTTTCGCCTTGCCAACAAAAAAAATATATATCCCGAGTTCAGAATCTTCTGTTGATTTCATTGCATTCAATATAATAACTTTCTGAAAACCATCTTTTTCACCAGTTTTACTTAAGAAAAAAGAAAACTCTTCATAGGCCATTGCTTTTTTGAAACTATAATAACATCCTAATTGTCTTAACCTCCTTTTACTGACTTTAAATATGTATGTGTGTATGTGCATATATATATATATATATATACGTGTGTAATATTTATGTTATTATAAATCATTTGTGGCAATAACCTGGAAATCGTAAAGTCTTGGGTTGCGGTTATACCATTCAATTATACGTATGCATTCTTCAAAATTCAATTCTATCCATTTTTAATACATATTCGTGATGACGCTTTCATTTCTTTGAAAAAAAAAAATAAAAATAAAAATAAACAAAAAATAAAAATAAAAGTAAAGAAATAAAAAAATTGAAACTCATTGAAATTTTTATGGTGCACGAATGTACAGAGCCTTATATTAACCGGACCTGTTTGTGCTCGGTGCACTCGACGCGTAATTAGGCCCAGTACTGTTTCTCTGTCCCACTCTTTCACTATTACTCTCTATCTCTCTCTCTCTCTCTCTCTCTTTCTCTTTCTCTTTCTCTCATTTTGTTTTTTTCTCTTTAACTCCTCCGCCTCCTCTATGTATCTTCTTTTCTTTTTCTTTTCCTTGTTCGTAATACAATTCGTCGTACGGGATATTGCGTAGCAGGGAGGCGCGTAACGGGACGCGTTCATTTTCGTCGCTGTCGGGGCCTTTTGAAAGAGCTCTCTTAAAGGGCCTTTCACACTGTCGTAACTGCATGTAACAGCTGTGCGTGCTAGCGATCTCATGATGTCCATTTTTTCTCAGAATCTCGGTGATTGCTTCGCCGTCTTCCTTCCCCTCCTTGGCTTAGCACTCAGATTTAGTTTTCGAGGAAGTTCTTTCTCGCGAGGATTGCTTTTGTTTATTATGGAATTTTTTAAAGTGAAATTACTTTTTTTATGTTACTTCATTTAAGATATTAGATGGATGGAACATTAGCCCAATCATGCTAAAAATTTTGAATCACGATATAGAAATCCATTACTTAATACAACTTACTCGAATGTGGATAGATTTTAGCATTTCAACATATATTATTCGATTTCATGAACTGCACTATAAACATTGGCAAAATTATACTTATTTTATATTTTATAATAATTATTTTTTATTATAAATCTTTTATATCTTTATAAATATTATATATCTTATTTTATAATAATGGCATTTTAAAGATACAGAACGATCAGATTAGTAATGATAAAATGGTATTTTTTCCGAATTTAAATGATTATATATTCATATTAAGCATGTGATAAAATAATATAATAATAATATTAATAATAATAATAATAATGATAATATAAATAATTAGAATGTTACTTAACGATAATAATAATGCGGATGTATAGTAGTCAATTGTTTAAAAAAAATATTAAACCAAATGATTATAATTTATCATTGTTGTGATTGCAATTGGTAAATAAACAAATAAATAAAGATCAATTAAAAATAATTTTAGAATGAGAATTTAAGTAGTATTATAATTATTTATAAAAAAAAAAAAAACATCTGCGGTGTATAGACTATTGAATAGGATAAGTACAATTACAAACAGAAAACGTGTTTAAGCATGTTGTGAACAACTTCTTCAAGTCACAGCAAGCGATTTGCGAATCTCAACGCGTTCGTAATAGCAATACATTGACTACTTAGAACTACGTCTAGAAAGTAAAAGTAAGCGACTAAACGATTTGGTTTTTTAATTCGTACGATACATTTAAAGTAACGTCTTGTACTGTATTATTGAGCAAGAGCTAACGTGTAAGCAAATTTGAATGAATTTTTTTTAATTATAACTGAATATTATAAATAACATAACCGACATTTTTTTAAAAATATTAACTACTTTACTTATGCATACAAAAAAAATGTTGATTATTGACATGAAGTTTTAATACTACTGGTATAATGATGATGATTATTATGGAACGTTGGAGTGAAAATGATGAAATTGGCGACAAATTATATTTGAGATAATTTGGTGTTTATATTACTTTGAGCGTTAAATTAAATACCTTGATATTTCTATCGACTGTAACTTTTCTAATTTGTATAATTAAAAACAATCTATAATAATAATGAAAATAAATAATAAAAATAAATAAATACAATCTGTGGGAAATCAATTAATAATCGAAAAATTATTTTTCGATTGCTAATATATTAAATAGAATTATCAAGTTTAATAAAAATTATTTTTAATAAAAAATATAGATATTTTTTTAAGTATATTTTCTTTATTCCAATGCTTTATATATCAATATTACAGTGTACAAAGAAATTGATTTTAAAAAAACGGACTAAATTAATGTTACCAATATTCGACGTAGATGTTTAAAATTAAAAATGTATTATTTCATATAATACTTGGTTTATTATTATATTACGTAAGTGCATACCTTTTAATGAAAAAAGCGTACATTTATTATTATAAAATCTTTAGTCAAATATTTTGGGATTGCTTTTAATAATAATCATAATTATATAGTTTGATTACGTTTCCAATTCATTATGTTAGTGCATGATGACATAGCGGTTAGACATAGAGCTCGAAAAATAAATAAAATAAAATATAAAAACGAATAGTAAATTATGAAATAGTTGGAATGCACTCGAATACTTCCCTCTTATTTTCTGAAATTAGAGTTTGGCGTTTTCGTAAGTAAATAGAGAGTTCCAGAAAGACAAATTAATATAAGGACTACTGAGGACTACACATAAGGAGAGTGGCGAGTGGGTGCGAAAAGACAGAATACAAAGCTAAAGATATAGAGAATTGGGGTGGGTGGGCGGGGTTGAAAATGGAGGGAGAGCAAGAGAAACAACCACGCAATACTTTCGAAAGTTAATGAGAGTCGATGGCAGCCCGTTGTCCAATCGTAATTGAACGAGAGGAAGTTGAAATCGTATTATAAGAAGAAAAGAAATAACGATGTATCTTTTGCGCTCTTGTTTTAGTACCAAGCACGCCTCAGGCTTCCGGACACACTTTCCCATTCGCAGAAGATGCAGTGCGTGGATCATATCATCGAGGTTCTCGATCTCGGGGCTTGCCAGGACACCAGTGAGTACACGCATCTGTCTACATATGTGGGAAAGCCTATACGAGCAGCAAGAGGGTGTCGGAGAAGAGACGATGATCAGTCGCAACATTGCGCTTTCGGCCGTGTGATCGACTCGCCCGATGCCCTCGTTCTATTCTCGGAGAACTCTTTCGGGATTATCGGCGCGGCTCCTCTGATGTAACGAAATACTGTATTCGAGAGCTCGGCAATCTTTTATTTTTCTCCATTCCATTTAATATTCTTTTTCATTTTTTTCCGAGCTTAATGCATGACTTCTTCCTTTGTATTCGCGGATTTGTAATTTAATTAATACCTCTTTACTTCTAGCGCTTTTATTAATGATTCATTTTTGTGACTTTTAAGTTGTTGGAGACTACACAAAGCGAGGATTATCTGGTGGAGAAAAGAAAAGGACGAGTATAGCCTGCGAATTGCTTACGAATCCTTCATTAATGTTACTAGATGTAAGGATAACCTCACTCGATAATTATAATCTTAATATTATAATTATAATTAATTATATATATATATATATATATAAATATACTATAATTGAAATTATAATCTTTTCGCAAAGCGGAAGTTGAAGCTTCTTATAATTAATGCAAGAACACTATTGCTATGTTATTTTATAAGATATTATTGTTTGTATTAAAAAAAAAAAGAATTAATTCTTGATCAACAAAATAACACATAAAATATTATGTTTACATAGATTTTTTTACTCCAATTACAAAATTGCACTATTTTATTACGCATAATAACAAGAGCCCGCAAAAAAATCAAAAGAAAAATATTAAATGAAAAATACGGTTTGTTCAATAAAATTTCTCGTTATTTAAGTGTATTTTATTTCAAATTATCTACTTATTGATTTGTAATAAACAAGTTATAATAAATAATTCATTACTTCATAAATGTAGTAAGTTTACTGGGTAGCGTTTTATTCATAATTATTCTATCTTTGTCGTTAATTATTATTAACAAAAAATAGGATTCCTTAATTATTTGTTTTCGAATTTCTAGTCACAATGATATATAAATTTAAATTAGACAACATTCGATTAAGCTATTTTGTGCCACAGTGTATTATAACTTTCATTTAACAGAATTTTTATTTCAAAATAACAACAATTTTACATACTAGCAACTATTAATAACTTATAGAGGAATTGTACTTTACCGAATATAAAATGCACGCTAAATTTATCACCTTACTTAACTTCTGCGCCAATTTAACTATTAATTACAAAAGCTGCCTTAACTTGCTTAAAGATTTATATCTGTTTCATAATAATTGTATAATTGGATGCAGTACAACGCGGTAGTTAATATTTACCATACCAAACTAAAATAAAAATTAAACATAGAAATATTGACTAAAATATGAGAAATGGTCGATTTTAATATAACATTATTGAATCAATTTTAATACCTAATAGAAAAGTAATATAATCCCTTGACTTCTATAATCAATCATATAAATGAGTTTATCTGAAATTTCTCATTATAAGTTCAATAAAAGAATACAGTAAAATTTATCATATAGTTGCATAATAAAGTGAAAAAATCATTGCGATCAAACGTAGAATCGAATGTAATTACTATGTATATACTAACAATACAAAATCGTAACCACTAATTTAGGTAATTGCCAGAGCAATGAGAGGTACGAGCAAATAAACAAAGGCAAATGATAATATTTGATTGCTCTATGTTAGGAGCCAACCAGCGGCCTGGACTCACACTCGGCCCAGGCTCTCATATCCCGTCTGAAGAAGTACGCGGAGCAAGAGGGCAAAAGCATCGTGGTGACGGTGCACCAACCGAGCTCACGCATGTTCCACAGCTTCAACAAGCTGTTGCTGCTCAGCAGGGGCCAGGTCGCTTATTACGGCTCGACCGCCAACATCGGCAGGTTTTTCTCCACCATTGGTCTCACCCTCCTGCCGCACTATAATCCGGCCGACCTCATACGTGAGTATACGAGACGCGCAACGCTTCGCCGAGAGTACCGACGCCCTTGCTATTAGAGCGGAGCAGCCTCTGCCTCTTATTTCCGAGCGTTATTTCGGGCAATTTCTTCCATGAGGCTTCCCTTCGGCTGCACCTCGCTGTCACCGAGTCAATTACAAATTAATCGGCCAGTATTTCTTGGTTTTATCTGTCGCAGCGATTACAAAAACGACAACTCGAGCCTTCCCTTATTTAGGTGCTAATGCATTTTAAGTTGCGTTCATTTTTAACCTACACATTTCAATAGCTGATTAATTACTTCAAAATTATTCTTCTACGCGCCCGCGCACGCGCGCACGCACACACACATACACACAAAACATTTACTAAATGATATTTACAGTTGTATATCTATAACCTTAGCTCCTAAAAAGCCATGTGCCATCCTATTGGTATTTGGTACATCGGAGCGTGTCTGAATTCCTTCACTCATCAGCAAAATCGTTTCTTCTATTACTTTTATACTTTTATTACATTTAGATACTTTTTTTACTCCGTGCGAGAATCATGGGCATACATATATACTATTGAATTTTATCTTAATTACCAATTCCATTCGACATTTGATTGCAAGCGTCGACTACCATTATATATCCTATGCATATATGCTGAAATTCTTCACTGCGGTTAACTAAATTGTTCTTTTATCATTGTGTTTTTTTATTTCTCTAGCTCTGGTGACAAGACGAGTAGAAAGTTATCTATAAAATAATAAAAGAAGGAAGGATTATAATTTTCTTTCAACTCCAAAGTTTCCAACAATTTTTACAATCCCTTTTTTATAATATAGAAAAGAATACATGATGGATTATTTGATGATAGTTTTTCATTTAAGAGCATAATTATTTCGATAAGAAATAACTGTAACGTTACTTGTATACACTGCATGATTTTTATTATAAAATTATACTAATGATACTTTTAATTTATTTTTTATTATAAAGTAAGCAGGAATTTCCATGTTCTTTCAGATATAGTTTTTGTCTCTTCCCCGAACAATTTATCATGAAATATTTTTCTCATGTAGAATGATTTAATATCGACACAGCGAGGACAAAAAAAATTTAGTTTACTAATGATTTTATAGAAAAGTTATTGCAGTAAAATTGTTGAGTAAGAAATAATTAGTCCTTCGATTTATAAGATATCACATAATTTCGGCGAATTGCAGCAATAGATACTTTACGACGAATGATAAAAACACCGTTTATAACGACTTGAATGCTCGCGGCGTGATGAAGCTTTATTATAAAGAAGCGATTGATCCAAGATTACAACGTTGATTTCAGTGGAGCAAATCAAGGGCCCCGAGGAGGTGAGGGAGCGGATTGTTGCCGCAGCCCGGGCCGCAAGACAGGGACCTGACTGCCCGCCAGAACTTCGCCCGGAGTTCAATCCCAGCCAACACCCGCTTTGCGACCATCTCATCCATTATCATGAACATCACATTACTCACAACGGTATGTAACTACATATTTGTGCATGCGCACCTATTTCTGCAATTCCCTCCATATCCTTCGCTTGCCGTCTGCCTGTTGTCCTACTCCGACTTCCTTCCACTGATCGCCTTTAAAAGCATTTTACAGTCACTTTGACTCAAGCATTTTATGATCGTATTTATATTTCTTGCTGAAAAGAAATATGAATTCAATTAATAGTAGAGTAGAAGAATGATTTACTGTTACGGCATTCTTTAAAAAAAACGTTGATTGTTTTAAGAACTGTAGGAGATCAATGATTTACTTTTTCATCGCCATGCTCTATTAACACTGCAATAAAAATCAGGCGATATAATGCCTTTAACAGAATCTTTAACAAATGTCGTAAAAGAATTGTTTTTTCTTTTACATGAATAAAAGTATATTATCATCAGAAATTATGACAATTTTGATCGATTTGTTTCTTTATAGAATGTATAAATAAATATATATATATTTATAAATGTACTTATGCACACTCAATTATCTCACTTATTTAATGTTTAACTGTTGTAGTAGCTAATATACCTCTTTAAAATAATTACACTCATAAAGGAAACAAAAAATGGTATTCTTTACCGCTGCTATCCTATATTTATTCATTGCTATTTCGTTAACTTTTTTTCGAAAAAAAGAAGACAAAAAAATAGGAAATGTGACAGTAAAACCACCTCGTAAATACGAGAGAAAGCAACAAATCCTACCACAAGAACAAAAGTTCATCATATGCCTAACCATTTTCTATTTATCTAGCTTCGTAGCCTTTATTTTACTCTCTTAGTTTTCATCCTCCTCTACAGCTTAACTCATTCATTATCTAACCAGTATTCTCTCCCTCCTTTCTTTGTCTATCATCATTTAAAAATATCCATCTCCATATTTCCCTTTTCTTTCTCTTTTTATTTTTATGTAAGACATCGTCTATTTACCTCTATGCTCTCCAGAAAGTTGCCGCAAATGCTTTCCAATTCTGCCGGCGTTGGCAGCAGCAGCCATGGCGACGGGATGTGCGAACGGATCGATGTTACTACTACTTTACTCTTGTTCTCTATTTCTAAAATTTTCTTAGCATCTCTTGTTCTAACTCTCTCTCTCTCTCTCTCTCTCTCTCTCTCTCTCTCTCTCTCCCCTCCCTCCCTCTCTCCCTCTATTTAAGTCTATATCACTAACTTTTCTCTCTTACACACACACGCGCACGCACGCACACACACATTCTACGTTTTCAAATAAAACAATAATTTTAATATATCAGGATAATTTTTCTCTATGTCCTTATAATATTTTATATATAATTAAAAATGTTCTTTCTTTTTCTTTGTTTCTAGAACTAACTTATTTGCGTCAAAATTCTATTTCGTTTACTTAAGTTTTATTTATTATTTTTTTTTGGTCTTTCTTATAATTGTATCTAAATCTACACATATGTTGAGAATACTTATTGATTATATATTTTATATAGTATTGAAAATATCAAAATATATGCTTGCGTTATAAAGAAATTTCATCATCATTGATGTAGTACGAATCGGACATGACATTATTTATGAATATTTGATATTATAATAATGCACTTTACTGAGTTGTTCAGAGTATGAATATGAATGAATTATTTAGAAGAGAATATTAGCTAATAATAAAAATGATATTGAAATAAATATGAAATCTATTTTTAATAAAATGTATCATAAAAAATAGTAAAATAAAAAATCATTGTAGGAATTTAACAAAATATTTTTAATAAGCATTCAATTTTTATATTAGTAAATTATGTTAAAAAACACGTATATTTTTATTTTGTCTCGATATTGCAGTCTTCTGAAATGATATATGTTCGTCATTATTTATCGGGTATTAATTACTTTATTATGACAATATTATTGACAGATAAGAAAGGAAGATAAAAAATGTCAAGTTTAAAAGAAATATCAAAAGTTTGTATTTTAATATTGCGCTCGAATAAATTAACCGCAAAATCCACAATAAATTTTCGTAAAATAATTGAGCTCTATTAAGAAACGTGCAGTGGCATTGTAATGTAATAGCACAGAAGAACATTAAATAATGGCATAAAAGTTTATAAAATGATGTAGTGCATTATGTCGTCGGTTAAATGTATAAACAAACGTAAGTACTATTATGCGATCGAACGAGAGCAACGGAAAAACATGAGAATGATAGAGTCATGTATAGTTAGCGAACTTCCTCCATAGTTGAATACGAATCCCTGATGGTCTTTTTATTCCACTTAAATAAGGCTGAAGCAATATGCTACCCGTGCGATGAGAACACGTATAAGGGAGGAAGCAAAGGTAGCCGCCTTGACCCAAAAACCCACCTTTCCTCTGCATTGTTAACCTAGCTAATCCTGAAACAATGTTGCGTCAACTCTCTTACAACGACTCGCTTTCTTTTTTTATTCCCGCCGATTTTCTCGCATCTGGTTGGCGATCGCATGAACAGCGAAGGAAGACGAGGGACGTACGTTGTGGCTGGACACGCAGAGCCATGCCAGCAGCAACGCCAGCTCCGCCGACGACGACTACAGCTGGCAGTGGCCCACGAGCTTCTGGTCCCAGTTCAAAGTGAGTATGTCGGCCTTTTCTTATGCTCGCAAGCCCTCTCGATCGAGTCGCTATTCGTCCGACCACCTTTTTACCCAATAATGCCTTTGTTCCATCGGACGATGGCTCAATGATGTAATCAACCACTGGCGCCCACTGTTCCAATCAAATCGAATGCATATTTTCACGCAATAGCTTGGCGTGAGACTTTTGAGACCCGTGAACTTTTAATCACGTGAACAATTCAATAATAATGACAAAACGAACTTTTCTTACAAACTTTTGATCTCGTGCTAACGCAATATTACATATTAAATATCTTGATATTATTGCGTGAGCTTGCTTTTTATTTTCAAAGTATTATTCTCATAATACCAAAAGTCCAAATAATTCATACGATATCTTAATGTGCTCATGAGAAAAAGCTCGGAAATAAGTATAAAAATTTGAAGACAGCAGTTTTTTTTTAGTTAAATACACAATATTTTATATTTAAAAACGAAGAAAAAATATATTTACATTAATCTAAATTGCGATTATATTTGTTTATTTAGTGATATGATTAATATTTAGATAAACCAATTGCAATAAACATATATTTGAGAAAATTATATTACCTTAATGAAATTGAAAAAATATGATTTTTTTTTTTTTTTTAATATTATGAATTCACTTTATAGATGACGTAAATATGAAATTGACCTTTATCCTTGAATCAGTAATTAAATTTGCATTTATCAAGATGGATTTAAGTATCGTAATGATGAAAAATCGTAATGATGCCTTAAATAAGGAAGAATTTAATATTTCTTACTCTTATTCAAATGCAAATGTGACTCTTAAATATTCTGATGATTTGAAAATAATTTTTATAAATCATTAATGAAATTTATTTTGAAAGTACAGTTTTAAAATTAAAAGATACGTAGTATTTAACACCGTAGTGTAATAATAAAAAAATAAGTGTATTACTTTAGGGCCGCTTAATATTGTATGCTTACCATTTCTTTTAATATTTCATACTTGGATTTGCATTTAATATAATAACACGTCTAATGTAAAGAATAATAAACATATTAAGTTAATGTTAACAATGAATAAATAAAAAGATAATAAATATTAATACAAGCGAAAGAATACAAATTCGTCACGATTGCAAGTCTTTAGCGTTGGTAACTGGTCAGTTGTTAAAAAGTTTCTGCTCTACTACTTTCTTTATTTAGAACATTAACTTTGTTTCGGTTAAGTAGAAATAATTAAAAATTGTATTTTATAAAAATAATATTCATTCACATCAGCATAGATTTTTATTTATTTTATTAGTCCTCTCGTTAATTACATTTTCTATTAAATACGAAATTATTATGGAAGCATAATAAAAATATACAAGTTGAAAGAACAACTGTAAACATCTGTTCCTACATTTCCTTATATATATATATATATATATATATATATATATATATATATAAATAATATATAATATATTTTATAAAATATAATATATATATATATATATATATATATATATATACATATATTCGTATGTAGAATAATTTTAAATTTTACGCTTGAATATTAACAATCAAAATAATCTATACTTTATTGTATATCTTAATATGCACATATATATCTTGATATACTACGTTCATTAAACAACTCGCATTTAATATAAAATAAATATCCAATTAAAGTATTCGTTCTTACATTTAAAAATATACTTCTAATTGTTCGTTATTTCGCTAGATGGATGGATTTTTGTTTTCTGATAAATTAGAAAAATCATTTAAAAGTATACTCATTAGTTGATAACCATGTATGAAGGAGAGTAATATCATAAATTATTCGAATATAGAAATAGCAATATTACGGAACATGTATTGCAAATTACATCTATTTAAATAACGTGCACAAATGACCTTATGAAAGTAATTTATAAAAACGATACATGTATAAAAATTATTTATTAATGAGCATACTATATAAGTCATAGGTTGACAATATCAAATGATTAAGAAAATTAAAAATAAGAAATTTGTTTTTTGTAACAAATACTCGATGTTATTATAAAATTATTGATTTGGTATATATATATATATATATATCAAGGTTGCAGTAGTAAATCAATTGATAATTTTTACTACTTATCACTACTATATTTTTACTACTATAGTTTTTAATACGCGATAGTAAAATTGATAATCTATATTAGGTATTGTAATATAAGCGTTGAGTTTCTTAATATCTTGTAGTTTCTTATTGCAGAATGAACTGCAACAATCAATTTAGATATTGGCAGCAGGCTTCAGAAAGATAATGTAACTTTTAGAAAGATTTTTACATTATATTTTACTTCTATAGGCTCGACTTAATAGCATTTATTACATTACTTCAAATTTTGTTTTTCTAAATAAGTACAATTTATTATTAAATAATTATAGTTAATACTATTGTAGATTATTTGTATGTCAGTATGAAACTATTTTAAGCACCTATGGAATAACTCTGAATTTAATTGTATTATATCACACTTTAATTACAACTTCAGAGAGTAATTTTCCATCTACAAATAACAAGACTTTTTTTATAAAATTTTTTTCATAACTTTTGTTTTTGAATTGATTGTACATATTGTTTTACTAATGAGCAGTTTTTAAAATTTTATATTTACAAACTAAACTAAAATCTAAGGATGCTGAATTTTGAGTCATACATCAAATATAACAAATTCATTGTATTCTGTACTTTAGATACAGAAATCAATGAAATTGAGGATTACTTGATGACAGTGTAACAATTAATTATACTTATAAAAGTATATAAGCAATCATTAATATAATTTTCTTCGTAATTATTTTTAATCTGTTTTTGGCTATAATAACCGCACGAAGTTCTAATACAAATGATAATATTATAAAAATGAAAGTTTATGTTTGGAATAACAAAAATTTATAAATAATATTTATATTATTATAATATATAAAATTGTATAATGTATATTATATAATAATATTTATTTACTGTACCTCAATATATACATAAGTATAGTACTCTAAATCCTTTATATTATAAAATTTGTAATTCTACCAATAAGAATTTGTTATTTATAACTTATCATTTATTTATAATTATAAATCCAATTAACCTGTAAGATCATAGTGAGTTTCATTAAATTTTTATAATGTTTAAAAATTATTTCCTTTTACTGAGTAACCGAATATATATTTAAATATTTGAATAAAGCATTTATTTCTTCTTTCTTTTGCATGTCTTTTTTCAACAATCTTCTGTTGAATCTTCCACAGTTTATAAAATATTTTATTCACGAAATAGTAAAAACGGATATAATTCGTGACATTTTGCAACATATACATTCTGAACATTAATTGTAAGAGAAATTTTTGGAATTCTTGCTGTCAATTAGATAAGTTATGCTATATTATATAGAATTACATATAATTAATATATTTATGTTTTCAAAATGGAAACTTATAATTAATCAAAATAATATTTAACATTATTCCACATTATTTAAAGCAATTGAAAGTTTTTACTACATATTTGTCTAAAGTAGTTTCATATGCTCTCAATTTAACTATCGAATAATGAATATTGTACTGAATATTGCCAACTTTTAAAGCATAATTTAATAAATTGTCCCAGATTATGTACGCTCACTTCTCAAAGACAGTTCTTCTCACTGTTCTATTACTTGATATTAGATTACTGCATAGTGGGATAACAAGACTCATTATTTTACACTATATTTTTTAAAAAATTTGCCACATGATCAAAGTACCGATACCCGCGCGTACTATTTATAGATTTCAAACGTCATGCAATTATTTTATAAAAATCGCTACTTTATCATATTTCCATAAACTTAATTATATATATATATATATATATATATATATATATAGTTTTTATATACTTTAAATTTAAAATATATATATATATACCTTAAAATCGACTCGGGGCGACCAAGGTTTCATCAAATACATTCATATTCGATAATTTTTCAACTATCGTTAATTTTATAATTAATTTAATACTACTTATTGTAATTATAAATTTTATTTCCTATTATAAAAAAATGAATTAGTATGAATACGATATTGTCAATTATGAACAAATTAGTAAAACCTTTTGGCATCCAATAATGCGCACTCTAAACTAATAAAATTAAATCTTTAAAATTAATAAATTTTAAAATAAATTATAATTTTTTGATAATTATTGCTGAAAAATTATTGGAATGATCAACTAATGTAGGTCTGCTTTCTAACAATTATGCCAAGAATAATGTTAAATCTTATTGACTACTTAATAAGTTGGCAATTTTTATTATCTTTCATTATCCTTTCTTGATATGCATTTTTTAACTTTTTTTATTTCGTAGTATCATTCCATTGAATATTAATCTGAAGTACTTTTATATGTTATCATTTTATTTTTTGAATGTTTTCAATTTATTCGGTCAAATGTATTTGTGATTTCTGTTTTGTATTTTGTAATTATTATTATTATTATTATTATAGAAGGGTTACTCGCTATATAAAATATTATAATTTCTCATATTCTGTCGTAAAAATTACAAAATTCAAAATTTAATTTATCATTCGAAATGAAATTATTCAACAAATTACGCGCAGAATAACTTTGAATTTGAAATTTCAATTAAAAATAAAGAATACCGAATTATACCGATATACTCGAATAACAACATTTCTCGTGAAAGAAAATAAAATCATCATACAAATGTAATAAAAAGTTTTTAACAAATGCTTAAGCACATGATAACTTGAAATCTCTAGCCACGTATTAAAATCGGAAGAATTTATACTATAATACATAGTTATTTAAATTTATGCAATACGTGCGTTGTGCCTGAACGTGTGACATGTACAATACGCGCATACAAAGATAATTACTATTAGGAATCCAAACATAAATCAGCCATACATTTTAATATTGATATTAGCATTTTTAGCATTAGCACTTAAATGTGAGAAAAAGTAGAAGCTATTGTTTCTTATGCCAGCAATATGGAAATTAATCATGTCTTCCAATACAGGTATTATCGGAGAGAAATTTCCAAGAGGCGAGGCCTCGAATGCTCTCGCGCCTCAATTGGTTGCAGACCATAGCGCTTGGTCTGTTAGCCGGATTATTGTGGTTCAGATTGCCCAGAACAGAAGCAGCACTCCACGACATTCAGGGCTGGATGTTCTTCAGCACGACGTATTGGATGCTCTTCGCACACTTTGGCGCCCTCTCAAGCTGTAAGTTCCTGTAAATTATGGTTGAACTTTCTCTTTTAAAAACGATAAAAATAAATGTACGACATCTTGCTGGTAAAAGTGGCACGATTCTTACGACGAAGCAAGGGATTATTACCGATTGTTGGATAATTTGTACTGCTCTGTCATTAAAATACGCCCAAAATACGCATTACTTCCAAAATACATTTATTCGTAACTGTATTATTCGTTCAGCCTCCATTAAACATTATGTATTTCATTTTCTACCATAATACCTCGTCCTTCAAATTTAATTGTATCCATTCGGCTTAATACGGATCACCAGCTCTTACATCATAGGTCGTATACGATAGTTGTGAAAGAACGATAAAAATGACTAACGACCGGTGAAAAAAGAAGAACAAATAAAGCCAAAACCGCAGGTGCACAATAGGTAGAAGTATAACAAAAAAATAAAATAAAACGAAAAAAAAATAATAATAATAAAAAAAATAAGAAACGAAATGTAAAAGAGGCTAACCGGCAAGTTCGGAGGAATAAAGAAAACAAGAAATGAAAGCGGGAGCTCTCGTAATCCGTATTTGTTCATCATCTGGAGCGGTAAAATTTATATATTTCTTTATTATGGTAATTACAGTTCCGCCGGAACGGGAGGTCATCAATAAGGAACGATTGTCGGGTTCGTATCGTCTTTCAGCCTACTACCTCGCAAAGATGGTTGGCGAGCTGCCGTTGACGATTACCCTTCCTGCGGTCTACCACATAATTAGTTATCCTATGCTTGGCTTTCACAGCCTAGCCGTTTTCGTCACGTTATTGGCGTTCTTACTTCTCAATACAATAGTAGCGCAGGTACGTTCTTTACTATAGCAGTTTTTCAATTTTTCCAATAATTACCCATTACACGTGAGTAGATATCACTGCTAAACTATGCATCGTCAGTTATATCGGCTTAAGCATACGTTGCTCGATATTTTGGAAGAGCAGGTCCAACTACATTTTATATCTTAAAAGGATAAGCTTAAAGAAAGGCCACTTAAACGCGAAGAAGTGTGCAAGTATTGGTAACGCTATTCTGAATGTACTACTCTAACTAGACCGAAAGGGTCAAGCTCTTAATTGGCATAACAATTTTAATCTACACTATTAAACTTTACTCCAACTATTCTTTCTCCATTATTATTAATTATCTGCCTTTTATTCCTCATCTTTTTTTTTCTATTTATTTTTGGTTATTAACTTCATAAATGGCGTACGTCAATTGTATTATTAGAGTTAATGTAATTAAAAAGAGCCATTTTATGATAGTATTGAGGAACTTTTATGTTTTGAAATATAAATTATTTCCTATTTTGACTATTTTCTATTTCGATAATCATTAGCATCATAATTAATATATTTTTGTTTCTTTTGCTCATAGAATTGGGCAAAGATCGAAGTTTCAATCGAACTATGAAATTTCCTTTTCATCTTAATTGCATAAAAATTATTGAGTCAATGTCATTAGACAATTCGAGCTTTCGATCATTAAAACGGCACCCAGGCTACGAATAAATTAAATTTCTCATTCCCGTGAATCCTTACTAGCATGAGGATATTTATGGAAAAAGATATTTAGATTTTACGATAAACTTAGCGGAATGGCGATGGTGATTATTCGCCTCGCAACTCGCCACGACACCATTGGCGACAAATCGCTCAATATTATTAACCGATTGCAGAGCGTCGGCTTCTTCGTCGGTGCCTGCTGCCTTGACTTGCAGGTGAGCATCACGGCCTCGGCACTCTACACCCTGGCGACGCAACTGCTGGGCGGTTACCTGGCGACGGCAGTACCACCCTGGTTGGCCTGGGCGCGCTACGCGAGCATGGTGCACTACGCTTATCAAAACATGCAAATCCTCGAGTTCGGAGTCGGTGAGCCCATAACGTAAGTCTGGCAGTGAATCTCTCGATCCTTTCTCCTTGCTGACGCTGACCACTCGTCACGTCCGATGTAAATGCCAATCGTACAATAGTGACCTTCAGACAAGTAGATTAAATCAAAGGAAGAACTTAAAGAACGGAAAAAATATTTCTAACGACATGGCATTGAATTACAATACAATTTATTCACAATTTTTCTAAATTCGCCTTAAAATTGTGATTTTATATGGCATCTCGACAAAGCTCAAAGATAATTAATGTCAATCAAGGACGATTTACCAATATTTCATATATCTTCTTTAAAAATAATTTTAAAAGAATTTACCATTAGCTATTATGATATTACAGAGACTTATAAATGAAACGGATTAAAATTTCATTCTGTTCTAAGTAGGTAAATGTTGCAAAAATCAAATTTAAATAATCTTATACATAAGAATGATTAATATATTGAAAATACATAATTTAATCTGCAATCGACTAACGAATAAATTGATCGAAAAAACTTTCGGAATTCTTTGAATCGTTGATTCTCCATACAAACGAAAGATTCGTTTATTTTCTCAGGTGTTTAATAATAGAATAATTGTAGTTTTGTAGTTTTGAGTTTTGTATGAAAATGACGCAGGACGTAAAAAACAGCGGGGAAAAATAAGCAATCTGGAAAACTCAAAGGAAATAATGAAAAGTAACGTGAAACTGTCATTACAGGTGTTCTCAGCCCAGTAAGTTTGCCGAATGTAAGAATGCAACTACGATACCGGTAACAGCGATCCTTGAGAGTCAGGGTGGTGCCAAGAGCTACGGGCTGCCCTTGTGGGCTAACACGGCTGTGCTACTCGCCTTTCTCGTCGTTTTTAGGACGATGGGTTACCTAGTGCTGCGCTATTATCGCGTACCCAAGTGAATTGCTGCCGGCGTCAGAGCAACAAGATTAAATTGGTGAACGAATGAGCGAGCGATAATGAGAGGACGGAAGAATCAACACAGCCACAATGTATGCAAATTTATACACAAAATACAATTGACATATATACAGGCATAATGACTCACACACCAACACAAATTTAAAACGCAAACTTATATTTACACAACACGGCTACTTTATTCACGGATGTTTTATTTTCTATTTTCTACCTTTAATTGTTAATTATTATTATCGACTATCGCTATTATTATTATTAGTTTTATTATTATTATTATTATTATTATTATTATTATTATTATTATTATTATTATTATTATCATTATCTTCATTATCGTCGTCGTCCTCGTCGTTCTCATCGTCATCATCATCATCATCTTTACCGTCGTCGTTATTTTCATCCTCCTCCTCCTCATTATCATTATCATCATTACCATCGTGGTCGTTATCCTCGTTAATATTATTATACTAATTACTGATACTACTACTACCACTACCATTACCACTACCATCAAAACCACTACTATTAATACTACTACTAATACTACTACTACTACTACTACTACTGCTACTACTGCTACTTCACTGCTATTACAACTTTATTACTTTATTACTTCACTACTACTATCATTATCATTGTTATTATTATTATTATTATTATTATTATTATTATTATTATTATTATTATTATTATTATTATTATTATAATTCTTATTATTTTGCGATTATAATATTATTACGTAAATTTATTATTAAATGAAAATAAAATGCAATCATTGCGCCGAGCAAATCAACGCGCGAGTCGCTACGTACCGTCAACCCCAGTGAGCCTTTTTGTGAATTTTGTGCACGGTGATAGTGACATTCTACGTATACAGTGTATATGAAAACAAAGGTATAATCATGGAACGGGATGTCAGGGACTCGCGCGGCTGCTTGATTATTAGCGAGCCACCACGAATTTGTATAATAATTCAGTTAAGTGAGACTAAGAGACTTGGCGGGGGATACTACATTGTAAAATTTTTTTACAAGACGGAGAAAAACTAAAAATACAACGGAACGAATGTGTGAGTGAATGTAAGTAGCTCTATGCGCAATGTATGAATAAAATGATAGAGTGCAGAAATAGATAAATAATCGAGAATGCGTATGCATTGTTGCATTTTAAATTTGAGGTGCATCACTTTGACGGAATTAATTTTTTCTATTACTTTTAAGCGCAGAATCATTAAATATAAAAGCTATAAGACTTGATCAAACGACATTATTGAGGGAGCTTTCACGATCGATTAAGAATTGCTAAAGTGCAAAAGCTCTTTAGAAATATTGATGATAGAAAAAAGAAAAGTGACGACAGATTCTGTGCATAGATGAAAAATGTTTCAAACGTGTTCGAGAGTGAAACGCCTCGAATCGGAAATCCAATAGTGAGATAAGTGATATACGATTTTCTTTTATAATATTGATTATTTTCCATTGCGGTAAAAAGGGTACGTGAGAGGTACGATTTGAAATCAACACTCGATAACTAATTGCCGAATCAAATCGACTGAGAATTTTTTCAATGTAACCCAAAATCCTAGGTTAGACAAAAATTTAAGGGGTAAAACGACAACAGTAAACGTGCGCATTGTTCACTTTGTTTTTTATTAGTAATTTTATATGTTAAATGACTTGCGACTGTAGTTGTTATTCGAACGTAAACACAAACATATATATGCAGTTATATACATTTGAAAAATATACATGCATGTTTTGCGAACACGGAAGGACGGAGAAGAAGACGAATAAGGGGAAAAAGTGATCAAGAAATGAGAAAAAGGGTTAGAAAAAACGCTAATACTGCCATTTACACATTAGAAAAATTACGTTAAGAGGTGTATGTGTTATTATAAAACGTGAAAATTTTGCTTCGTACGTCAGAAGAAGAAGAATGAAGTACTCTTCTGCACAGAGGAGCATTGATAATGAAATTTTAATGTTCAATATTTGCGTGCTGAGAGAACAAATGAAATACAAAAGCTGCCAAATGAATTATATTATAGGAAAGCACCTTTAATCGTCAAAAAATTTAGGTTGTTGAAAAAAGAACATATAGATGCGTCCATTTTTTCTCACGAGCACGTATACACATTATTTGTATATTACTAGACTATTCATTATTAAATATACCTTTATATGCGTGTTATATGCCGTACGAAAGGCGAGTGTTTTTGTCGCTCAGACGTATAACGACGACGAATGTTGACCGATTAGCAAAAAGAATAATAAATAAAAATTAATAAAAAAATAATAATAAACATGTATGCAGTGAACGAAGGAAAATAATATGTAGGATTGATAGGTATTAGCAAGGATGAAGCGAAGGCGTATGTCATAGATGCGTTTGTGAACACTCCCTGGAATAAAAATTGTATGTGATTAATTACGTATTATTAATTGTTATTGATAATGTTTTTAAAATTAAAAAAAACATTACCCATAATTAACCAATTCGAAGTGAATAGAAAAAAATATACGATATTGGTGAATAAATGCAATATAATTTTTGGAAATCTATTTTTTAATTATTTTAGAAACAAACAGAAATTACAAAAGAATGTAGTATATTATCTTACGATTTTATTAACATTATATTCTAATAATGTAATGATAATAATTCAGTGAAAGCATAAATTATTGTAATAATTTGTATTAACGATTTGAACCGACACTTTAACTATGAAGATATTTTACATACAAATATTGATAATTGTAGCTAATTACGTACAACTTTTTTCTGGGTCCTTTTCTCACCCAAATTATAAAGGGATTAAGGAAAAAAAGAAGATTCGATGATTGTTACATAAGATAGATATTTGTACTATTGCAATTATTTAATGAGAGTTGTATCAATTTGCAGTTAATTAATGCTGTATTATGACAATGGAGATCGAGACCGATTATATCGCCCATATGGATGTTCGTGGCCAGGTAAGCTGCAAATTTACCTTCGAATCTATCTCTCGACTTTGAAAGTCGTTGTTTTCGCATTTCTAACAATCTATGTGAATTTGTTTTCAATGAGTAGACAATGTAAGCGAAGCTACATAAAGTAAAGAGATATTGAAAACAAAATTATGATAATAAACTTGCGGTTGAAAAATGCATTAATTATGCAAAGAATGAAAGAAAACTTTATTGTATCGTTCATATTTGAAAAAAAAAGAATTTATAAAGAGTTATGGATAATTTTGAAAGTTAATTTGTAGCTTACCTTACGTTATCTGTAATTGATAAATCCACCAAGTGTTCAATAGAGTACGAAGTGATGAATAAGGAAAAGAAAATAAGTCAGCGCAAGCCCACCTTCTTAATTTTGCGTTTAACAAAGGCAAATAGTTAAATGAAAGCATAGGACAAACTAAACGGTGTATATAATACGGAGTATATCTGTAAAATGTAACGCTAACGTCTAACGTTTAAGAAAATATCCACCATGGAAAAAGAGAAAAGGAGAACCATCGCGTGTAAACAATGTTTTTAAACAAAGATTTGGCTGTGTTAAGGTCGTAAATACTATTGATTTTTATCACTTTTTTTACTTAAATATTTAGAAAAAGCGAAGTTTAATAAAGATAGTGAGAGAGTTTTTAAAAAAAAAAAAAATAATAATAAATACTAATATATGTTGCGTTCGAAAGTGAGTGTGAGAGAAAAATGAGAGCGTGTGATTTGAAAGAAAACATAATAGATCCAAGAATGGCGTACAAGAATCGGATAAATATCTTTATAAAGTAGTAAAAAGATGGTCAACGAAGATAATAATAAAAATGATTGCAAGCAAATGAATAACCGAGAGCAAAATAAATAACAAAAATAATAGAACGCCGTATACATAATAAAACAAACACATTAGCGATCGGTATTCATCTGATAAAGCTAGTACAATTGTGCTTATAAAGCTTTTTTTTACTATACACGAGGAATAAAAGGATGTCAATCTTTTTAATTGCTTATCCGACAAAAAAGAAACACGCGTAGAGATACTTCGATGAAGCTTAGCGAAACCTTTTCTAATTTCATATACAAGTAAATTAACTGATATTCATACAATATATAACTGCGAAAGCTTAAAATAAATACAAAATTAATAATAAACCAGACGAATGAAAAAAAAAACAACAACAACAACAACAACAACAACTGAAAAGAGTAAGCGACATGTTTAACATATTGATAGATACGCATACTTAAATACACACGTAGGCGCATACGGTATACATGTGTGCATGTCCGTAAGTGTAGATGGATGTTTATATGCAAGCATGTATCGATGCATTCTTTACTTGACATTTTTCACTTTGTACATCGTACATTAAATTGAAAGCTTAAAAAAGGTAAATGAAAAATATTTAAAATATAAAAAATACAGATAGTTTCGATCATTCAATTCGAGCAAATCGCGTCAAATTTTTCTGTAATAACATGTCATTTTATTAAAAATGATAAGCACGATAAATAGAAATAATCGACTGCCTGCGTCTCAATAGCAGTTTCTCCTACAAAAAATAAAGTTTTGATATTTGCGTCTTGCGCGTTTGTACGTTTTTACAGACTTTTACAGCCAAACTTTTACACTATGAGAGACTTACTAATGTAGAGTTTTCAATTTCGTTCAGTTTTCAATGGTACATCGTGTCAAGGCAATCATGCTCTCATCCCATTAATCAGCTTCATTCGAACTAAAGAAAACCTTTATTGATTAAATATCGATTAGAGGTAGCATTAGCTTTACTCATTCAAAAGGACGTGTGATGCTGAGTTACTTCCATCAACTATCACTGATACATTTATTCGAAGATTCTTACAAAGATACTTAAAGGAATTCATCATTAAATTAATGAAAATATTTACAATCTTATGCTGAAATTACATTATGACATAAATTTATATAATAAAATAAGAAAAAATATTGTTGTATCTTAAAAATATATAATAAACAAGGATTTAAATATATAGACATACCCGAATTATTACATTTTCATTATGCATAGAGGAGTGTTACTTTGTATTATAATTATATGCTAAATGTTTAATAAAAATTTGTTAGCATAACGTAATGATAAATTTGCAAATAATACAAGTTTTAATGATTTACAAAAATGGAGACCT